AAGTAATAGATTTAATATTATCCTAGTAATAGTAGACTAATTTATAAAGATAAGATATTTTATATTTTACTATAAAACCTATAATACTAGGGAAGTCTCTTAATTATATATTTAATATATTATTAGGTCTATAGGATTAAAAGTAGATATATATATTAAGATAGAAGAACTATTCCTTACTATATAAAAGTCTAGGTAGTTATTCTAAATAGAGAATAAATTATAAACTTATATCTATATTAATACTAGTTATATAATAAGAGATTAGATTACTTTATTATAGTATATATATTAGTTTTTAAGCTTCTAAAGAAAAGCTATAAACTAATAGTATTTATAGATTAAAAGCTTATTATAGAGAAATATTTTATAAAGTTCTTAATTAATAGTTTATTCTAATAATATAAATAAGGTTTTCTTAGATATCTTTTCTTTAAATATAAGATATTAGAATTTAGTAAAGAACTAACTAAATTTCTTATAAATCTAATAGAATTAGAAGAGTTTATTTTAGATATTATTTATATAATTAGGATTTTTAAAAATATTTTTAAGAATACTTAGGATTTCTTTATAGTTAGATAAAATATAATTTCTATTCTAGATATATAATAAGATCTAGATATATAGGATTTCTTTAAGCTAATTTATTATATATAATATTTAGTTTATTAAGATTAGAAATTAATTAAGGTTTATAATTAATTTTTCTTAAATCTAGAATATAAATTAATAAAGATTCTTATAATCTCTACTAAATATATAGAAATCTAGAAAATATTTAGAAAAAATAGGGAAGTAGATAATATAAGAATTAAATAATAAAAATATTTCTAATACTAAAGTTAATAGTTTTTTAGTAAATATTTTAAAAACTAGATTTATATAAAAAATATTTATAGTAAAAGTAATAATTATTAAGACTTAATTATATTTTTAGTAGATAGATTCTAATTTATAAGTATATTTTAGAAGATTTTCTTAAGTTTATATTAATTTTTTTTCTTAGTATTTAAAAATATTATTTTTTTTAGATAGTTTATTATAGATTTATATAAATTCTTTTTTAATCTAAATAATTTCTTAGATTAAATAAATAATCTTTTATTAAATAATATAGTATTATTAATAGTATAAATAGATTAGTTTTCTAATCTTCTTAGGATATTTATATATTTATCTATAGTATATAAACTAGGTTTTAGGATTTATATTATAGTATTTAGTATAGATTTTAAGGTTTTTAAATAGAAATAGTAGTAAAGGAGTCTTTATAAACTCTAATAACTAATCTATAATTAATAGGTAGTCTAACTTTTAATATAAGGATTAAAACTATATAGTATTAGGATATAGTAAGTAGTTATATATTAGAAGTTAGTAGATTAGCTTATATAATAAGTAGAAGATTAGAAATAGTTATATTATAGATAGGTTATAGAATAGAAGATTAACTAAGATATAGCTTAAAGAACTATATTAAATAGGAATAGGAAGTTCTAATAGTCTTAGGGGTTATATAATAATAAGAATAGGGATCCTCTTATATAAGGATCTACACCATAACAATATATTAAAAAAGAAATAAGATAAAAGTAGAGAGAGAGAGGATAGAAAAGTCAAAAGTTAAGAAGAAGAAAGAGATAAAGATTAAGAAAATAAAAGAGAAGCTCTTATCTTAAAGATATTAAAGAAACTATATTACTTTATTTATATTTATATATAAAGATACCTAAGATAGTATTAGTCCTAGAAGTTTTATTTAATATAATACTACTTTATATAGATTATCTAATTAAATATAAGCTATATAGATAGTTAAGTTAACTATTATTAAAAAAAAGAATAAATTATTATAGGATTCCTAAATCCCCTTAGATATAACTTAGATATAATTTATAACTACTCTATAGATAAATCTATCTTAATATATCTATTTATATATAATAGTCCTAAGCCCTAGTAATATAAAAATATATAAATAATAACTATAATTCTTATTCAAAAAGAATCAGTCTATATATTAACTATTTTATTTAATCTCTACTATCTAATATCCTTACCTAGTTATAGGTCTCTAGCCTAATAACTCAGTAGCTATTATATTATATATCTTTTATAACTTATAAATAATTTATTAATAAAAAACTATTAAAATATATTCTTAGAACTATTTATTTATAAATAAATTAAATACTTATAAATATAATATTAATAGAATAAGATATTTATAGTATTTAAAATATAAATAATCTTAAAAGATTTTACTAATATAGTATTAAACTCTTTTATATTTATCTATAAATAAGTTATATATTACTTATTATATATTTTTGTTTATATACCTTTCTATTACTATTTATATACCTATCTAATATAATATCTCTTTTATAATCTATAGATAGCTTATTAAAAAGAAAAGGAATAATTATTATAGTATATATATAGATTAATATTCTAAAGGAAAGATCAACAAATAATATATATTAATATTAGAATAGATATATAACTTATTGAGGGTTCTGGCCTTAGACTTCTTATATAAAGTATATAAACTATAGTTAGTATAAAATATATAAATATCTAGAAGTAATAGACTTCTAAGGATTTGTTTCTATATAACTTTTATAAAAGAACTTAATCTAATATTATTATTTTTTATTTATCTATCTAACCCTTTAATATTAATTTTAATAACTATTTACTTGTTGATCTTTCCTTTAGAATATAAATATATATATATACATAATATTACTCTAGGATAATTAGAGTAAAATAGTCTTATCTATCTTACTTTATTCTTAATAAGAAATCCTAAAAGGGTATAGCCTATCTGTAGCTAGTCGCTTTATTATCTCCTATTTAAAACTAAAATTCCTAAAATATAAACTAAGTAGGGTCTATCCTTTATAATTAAATATCTTAGAATATCTTTTTTTATAATATACTAGATTATAGTCTAATTATAAAACCTCCAAGAAGAGCGATCATAATATCTCAAAGATTAGAGATTTAGAAGGGGGTGACATCTTAGACCTACTTTCTCTAGAGACCTACTTATCACCCCCCCCCCCCCTTACCAAGACTTATTAATACGGAACAAGGGGGGGTCCGACTATAGTTAGGAATTTAAGGGGCACGGCCGGAATCATAGTGAACTATATATCATCGAATCGTATAAAAAGCTGAAGCTCTTCATCCTTAATGTCTATTTAGGCAAAGCAACCTATCAAATTAAAATACTGATTTAGTAAATCACCAAATCGTAGATATGAAGTCTCCGGCATCTATAACAAATATAATATTACAGTAGGTAGCAAGTAGGTCTGACCAATAGCTGTAGTGCCATTTAAGGCGTCATATCGTAACTAGAAGCAAGAGCAGAGTACAAAATATCGGTAGTTATATAACGCTAGAGAGGAAACATCCACAGAAAAAGCCGGCCACCAGGATTAATAACTCCATTGCTAGGGTAGCCAGCAGTATTTGGGCCATGCTGTTTTCTCGTGCTGAGTTAATCACGCAATAATCGAACAAGCCTGAGATTGTCCACGTCTATTTCTGTGTGAAACGTTAGTGACCTGATCAATTTTTTGAAGGGCTCTCGTCATGACTCGTCATCGAGAGTGGAAGTTAATCTTGATTAGGGTTTAATGTTTTGGAAAGAACTTATGAAATAAGTCCATGTAGACACGAAATTAAACAGAGTCAGATGATAATTATTCATTTTTGAAGCAAAGTTACTTTACTATTGATAGTACAACAGAGGAAAAGAGAAGGCGCCAATAGAGAAAATACTCAGGTTATTTTTATCCGAATTTCGCGAGAATCACATCGCTGATATCGCTGAAGGAAAGCCCTATAAGAGCCTGTGTATCGAAGGTATTGCTAGTCAAGGCGAACCTTTCTTTGCAGATTGCGTGAAGCTCTTAATAATAAGGTCCGTGTAGTATAACTACATGGAGGAAGACTCGGGACGGGTATGTTTGCACTGTTTGCACGTTTGTGCGGTTTGACCCACTCTCGGATGCAGGCCAATCATCTGATTGGCCTGGAGAGTGGCATCCGCCTATATGTATGTAGCATAGCTCTCTCTCTTCTTTTCCTTTCCTCAACGTTGTTATTCGTTGTTCTTCGCACTCTTCTCTATTCTAGTAGATCATAGGCACCTCATCACAGTCCGATTGATGAAACTTGCGGGGATTCGAGATACGGTAGATCTCGATTACGAGGGTCTTGTGGCGAGCTGAGCTTCACCTGTGCCACGCAGCTCGATTAGTGGGGCTACAAAGAAAACAGACGATATGCAAAGCACTGTTGGGCTGTTTCCATTCAAGATTCTGACTGATCATATAAGCCAATTCAGGGTGGCGGCTCAAAAAATTCTCAGGTACATCACTGTTCACTCTCGCAGAATGGGCGCAGGGTTTCACGACTATAAGTTTACTACTGTAGTAGATCCCCCTTTTGAGCTGCGTACGAAACCCAAGACCTATCCAGCCTACCTTTCCTTCTTGGGCCTTAGTGTCTTTTATCCGCGTAGATACATCTCCACCTGTATAACAATCGCGTCAATTACTGTAATTGGACGTGTATTTTACTGAAGTGTGGGGCGCGCACGGTCGGACGTAATATTCTCTCCAGAGAGTGTATCTTATTCAAGTTGTGTATGAAGCTTGAAACAATGGGAAAGTCGCGGTATGCAAGGCATCTACGTAATACGAAGTCCACGGGTCATGAAGCGCATATGCCCTTACAGTATACATAATTAGCGGGGGAGAAAGAAGAACGACTCGGAGTTGACCGCATTTATGACGTCGTACTATTACAATGTACTAATACAGCAATGTTTACTAGTACGCCTATCATATAACTAGTACTACTACCTGGTATATATGTAGCATTTATGCCCCGTCCTTAGTTCAGTCAATGCCTTACCTGTGAACCCTTCGTCAACTTTGAAAATCTTAAGTTGACGTTTCCATATTCCAAGAATCGAAATGGCAGTTGACTTCGCCTCTATCCCTTTGGTCGACTTCCAAGACGCATTTTCTCCAGACACAAAGCCACGCTTCCTCTCCACACTTAGGAGTGCACTCGTCGATGTAGGCTTCTTTTATCTTCAGAATCCTCCGATTGATATCAAAATACGGGAGGCACTTGTGAAGACAACGGGCGCATTTTTTGATCTCCCAACAAGTAAGAAGCTAGAGCTGGACGTGACCCAAAGTAAACACTTCCGGGGATATGGTTGTGCGGGTTCCGAAAAAACAGCTACGTTGAGCGATCAGCGGGAAACTTTGACTGTATGTTAAATGACTCAATTGGAAAGGTTTCGGAAAGGTATAATCCATAATAACATCATTTAAAGGTCGGCATCGAGGCACCTGTCCGTGGTTCGGACTCGCCCATTTACTACGGTCTCGAGGGACCTAATCAGGTATGCCAAAAGATTAACAGCAGTCCAGCATGTCAACCTCTGACTATAACTACTAGTGGCTTCCTGAAGAAACCGCCCCAGGCCTCCGTAAGGCAGTCGAAGTATACATTGAGGAGACCCAAAAATTAGCAGACACGTTTCTTTTTTTGGTTGCCGAAGCATTGGAACTAAACCCCGATACGTTTACGAAAGTACTCCACAGAGAATACCCCTTCAGTCTTCTCAGAATCGGTGCCTATCCTCAAATGGATCCTTCAAATCCTGCTGCGGCAGATATCCAGGGCGTCGGAGCTCACAAGGACTCAAGCTTCTTGACCTACCTGCTTCAAGGAACTGGGCATTCAAGTCTAGAAGTGCAGAACAAATCGGGAACATGGATCCCAGCGCCCCCTATCCCGAACACACTTGTTGTGAACATCGGCCGGTCACTGGAAGCCCTCACGCGCGGAGTTTGCGTTGCTACTACTCACCGAGTCAACTTGAAACCAGCTCAATATCTTGGACCGGGTAATATTTCTCTCGGCAAGCGGTTGAGTTTTGCATTTTTCCAAACAGTGGCTCTTGATGTCACTAAAGAGGATATGAGAGTGGAAATACCTCCTCATATCTTGGCTTTACGCGTGAACAATGTGAAATCCGATGCTGAATCGTTCTTCACTGATCTTTTCGAAGGCCCTGCCGGTGAGGCTGTTTTAACAAATTGCGTTACGAGCTACCCCGAACTGGGGAAGCGATGGTACCCCGAACTTTTGGCTAAAGTGCTTGAGGAGCAGCATAGAAGTAAAATGTTAGATGATGCCGGACTTGTTGCAAAGTCTCAGGCCGCTTGAACGTGTGGCTGCAATGGAATTTTTCTCGGCTGTTTTATTTTTTAACTTTTGTCCAAGTTTAGCTTGGTCAACTGTTCTGGTTGTATAGTCTCAAGTTAGGCTTTGGCAAATAAAAAAAGTCAATTTTTATATGGTCTGACATCCCAATCACTAATATCATACCCTACTCGTGGACCATTGTTCAACCAAATAGACGACGGACTGTGTATCAAACTTATGCTTTATATGTAGTATTTAATTTCGCGTTCGATTTGTAGAACTAAATTGTAAGATGTATCGGTAGACTGGCCCTACATTTCTTACCATTGAGCTGAATGAAAATAACTTGAACTTTTGAGTTCCAACGTTTTTCCAGGTTGGATTTGAGAATCTGTTGGCATTGCGAATGTTAAATATTGCCAGTATGAACTGCCTTCTAGATGATGTAGACTTTGTAGGAAAGTATTTGAAAGTAAAAAGATCTGTTTCTGGTATTCAAGGAGATGAATCTCTACAGGTTGTTTCTGTCTGGTATCCGAAATTTGACAGTCCAAATCTTAAAACTAAGCCATCCAGTCTTGGTGTTTCTTTGATAGCATGAACGGAACTTGAAACTCGTCCAAGTAGTTCAACATGAACCGTTGGACGTAATATCCATTTCTCGCACCCATTGATCCATTGTCTGTTCCATCAAGCCTTTCGTGAAAACAACCTATGGATACCTGGTCAGTACCGAATACAAGCAAAGAATGAACGATGCGAGACTTACTAGTTCTTCTGACTCTATAAGCGTGTCATGATCTGCGCCTTCAACGATACCCCACTCCACATACTCTTTCCCAACCATCTCATCCCAGCCTCCAGCATCAAAAGACTCACGCGGAACTTGAAGCCAGTCATCGCTAAGTTTCAACCTTGTCCCTGGTCCAACTTTCTTCTCAAGCTCCAGTGCTTCAGACACCATGTCTGCCATCCTGTCATGATCGCCATGTCCGGCCCAGATAACAAATATCCGCGGCCGTTTTGCATCACTTTTGTTGAAGGGACGAGGCATATATTTCATTTTCGCGTAATATGCGGCCACTCGGTGCTTTTTACGAAAGGAAGGAATCTCCACGTCGGGTTTTCCTTCGCGGCGGATTGGAGGGAATACTCCCATCATTTCAAACAGTTCGACAGTTGCTTTCGGGCAATTAAGGTTTTGCCGAGGCACTGCCAAGTCCAGCATGATTATTCCCAGAACTTGCTTTCCCCATTCGTGCAGCTGGTATGCGGTCTCGTATGCCGTGGCTGTTCCCATTGACCAACCACATAGTATATATGGGCCAACGGGGTCAATGCTAACAATAGTGTTTGCGTAAATGGTGGCAGTTTCTTCTATCGTCCAAGAAGCTTCTGACTTGGTCATAAGGAATGGAGAGCCAAAGCTGTACACTGCATAATCATTGAAGAATTTAGGCAGTGTTCTGTACACGAAGGCATTTCCCGAGCCAGGAGGAGCGAGGAAAAGAGAGGGAACGCCTGGTCTCGGAGTCCCCTGGAGAAGGACCGAAAAGCACACATCGGTAGGTGCGTCCTCCATGACGGGTGTAAAATGAAGAAAACCCGCTGTGTCTGGAATAGAACTGATCTGCTGGCATATTGCCCCGACTGTTGCTTGTGTAAAGAACAGAGATGATGGTAACGACACTCCTGTTTCGATCTGAACACGCTTGATAATTGCGATCGATAAAATTGAATCAACTCCCAGCTCAATCACGCGAGAAGAGAGGTCAATGGAGATTCTCTTCTCTATTTCGATCGCCATGCATAATGATTGCATCACCTGGGTGCCTGAAATGGGCCCATCGATAGTGTGTACGTCCTCTCTTTGCTGGCGCTCCCAGTATATCTTGACCAGAGCTTCCAGCTTGGTCTTCTGGACCTTACCCGCCATGGTTCTTGGATATTCTTCGCGTCCCAGTGTCTGAATTGATATAACATCTGCCGGGACATAAAGATCCCCCATCTGAGCCAGAATTATGTTCTTGAGTTTATTTCCCGTGTTATCATCGACCTTCTGGTTTACAACGACAATAGGCACCTCGCCAGCCACATTGTCCGGTGCGCGTACAACCTGAGGGTGGAAATCACTGATTCCTGGGGACCGACCCAAAACCGCTTCGATGGCCGATGGTTCAATGTTCTCCCCTCCGCGGATGATTGTGTCTTTGTACCTGCCAATCAGATAGAGGCGATTGTCGCTACCAATAAAGGCTTTATCACCAGTGCGGAACCAAGGGGTGCCATCTTCCTCGCTGTAAAAGTTACCATCGGCTCCTCCGATGTATCCATTGATCAAACTTGAACCTGAGAAGTGCATCTCTCCAGCGTCACCAAACGGAGCTAGGACCTTGCTGTCCTTGGCATATACACGCACGGACATCCCAGGGAGTGGCGTGCCAATTGAAACGTCTCCATCTTTGATGATGCCACTGACCTGACTGACGACGCCTGAAGATACAAGGATGCCCTCGGTCATACCATAGAGATTTTCCACTCCTGATGCACCCAAGGTATCGAGGCAGATCCTAATAACCTCCTCGGTTGGGGGAGAGCCTCCCATGACGATTCGCTTAAGGGAGCTTAACTTCCCGGTTAAAAGGGGCGTGGTGCGCAGGGCATGCAGCATAGTTGGCACTAATCCAGCGTGGTTCACTTGCTCCGCCTGAATGGCTTTTATCACAGCCTCTGGAATAAATCTCGGCCCTGGGAGCACAACAGTGGCTGCATTAAGGAATGGAGCCATAATACAAAGCCAACCAAACCCATGGTTATTTGGCAATGTAAATAAGACCCGATCCCCAGGCATCATAGGAACACTACTTTGACGCCAACATGAGGCGGCCGAAAACCCATACGCCGATGGCATAATGCAACCCTTTGGGAGTGATGTCGTTCCACTAGTGAAAAAAATTGTCTGATTCGACGGTACTGAGTGGCAATCTGGGGTAACACTTTGCTGCAAATTTGAAGCTGGTTTTTGCATCAACTCGTCAAAAGATTCCCACCCATCCATGTCTCCTTCGACCAATATCCTGGTGCATTTCAACCCAGACGTGAACTCCTCGATACGAGTACAAATATCGGATGTTCCGGCAATGATGGCCATAGAATCCGACTGGCATCCTTTAATCGCGACTTGCAGCATATGCCGTATTTCCCTGTCATTCGATAGGGCTTTGGGGTTGATTGGAATGTAAGCGCAGCCAATCTGGTACGCAGCCCAAGTGGCAATGACATATTCAGCGGTGTTTGGCATGAACATAACCAATGGATCACCTCTTTTCAGGCCTCGACTTCGTAAACCAATGACGAATCGCTGTATAGCGCAATCAAGGTCCCGATAGGTCCATCGTAGATAGTCCACTTCATGCTCCGCACCGGCCGTGGGCAAGCTCTGGATTCCGTAGAGGGTAGCGGATTGCTGGGTACTGACAAGAGCCACGACATCCGGGTATTTCATGACATTCTGATAAAACACTTCGTGGAGAGACTTTTCGTCGTCAGGAAGGGGGGGTCCGTGTAGTTCGCTGGAGGGCATCATATTGGATAGTTGGGAGAAAATTGACTATCCCAAGGGAGAGAATGTTGTGTTTCGAAATCACGGCCCAAGTGAAAAGTAGTACGATATAGTATGACATGAAGGAGAGAGGGAAAGAAGAAACCAGAAAACATCCAACACCCGTAAAGTCGCACAACTACAATGCAAACAGCATGCATGAATAAGCAAGTAGCTGCCTGCTCGATCGACCACGAAGGTAGTACTACTAGCCCCAACAAAAAATCGATAAATGCACAGATGGTAAGTTGCTGGCATAGACAGATTGATCTGTGCTCCTGGGGTATCGTAGTCACTTGCGCTCTACTACATACAACGATCGAAACTGATCGAATAGAATACAGGGAGATCCAATTACAGGCAGTAATGCTTTATTCCTCGTATGTTTTAATTTTATTTCGCTCTCGTCGAAAAATATGTTTGCGGAGTATCAGATGTAACGCGCAGATCAAACCGAATTGATGTGATGGATGAGAAAGTTGTAAATTATAAAAACTTATTTTTTACTTAATATAAAATAAAGAAAAGACATAAAAAAAACACGTGTGGGTATTTTGAAGTATATACGGGGTATTACGCGTAACAATCATACAATGTATAAACCAGTTGACCCCTAATTGGGTTAGATCAGGAGTGGATACCAATGCACATAATACATTATACAGGCCCGAGCCCTGTAGTGGGTCTACCAGCTCAATAATTGACTAAAACCCGCCCCGAGCTGATGGAGTACATATCTTGGTGACACCAACCTTGCAGACAGATGCAATTGATCACCTCACCGCTACATGTCTGCCACTCTCATAGTGGCTTCACTAAAGTCCGATCGAGAAAATCTTTGTGGTTATCCCGCTCCTTGAACTTGAAAATTTAGAGGTAAGTCTAGGCCATCAAGAAAGCAGCTAACTAATGCATAGGTGGTGCAATTCTTCAAAATCAAAGGAGCATTCATATGGCAAATCTTTGTTGTGTTGATGGCATTGCTTGGTTCTCCTCAGCTGTAAATTAAGGACTAAAACGCCGATCTATGTGATACAGTTTTTTGTCACCGCAAATTGATACATCCGTTGAGTAAATAGACTGGGTAACTATCTATCTCTCATATGAACTGACAATAACTCAGTTGCATAACAAGTACTCTGATTCAGTTCTATCATTACCTTCAGCTCACTATGTCTCAAACTACGAGTACCTCTCGTACGAAGACGACCATGGTCGTGGGAGATCAATCTTTGGACGTTGCTGAGCTCCAGGAAATCAGACTGGAGAATGTCATTGCGAAAGACCAACTTGAGATGGCCAAACTTTTGAAGGCGGCGGAATCCCAGGGATTTTTCTACGTTTCCTTTAACGACGACCTCTCAGACAAAATCTCAAGCCACCTAAAAACCTGCTACCTAAACCAGCATGAGTACTTCGCCAAGCCATTAGAAGAAAAGATGAAGGCATTCCGCGGGGATGTGATTCACGGGTATGTGCACCTCAGTCGCCCCAGCCAGATTCACAGATATTGACCCATCACTAGCTACAAATGCGCTGGCATTGAATCATTCGAAGTAAGTATGCCCATCAATCTTTAGTACATAGGTACTGACCACTCAGATTACTCGAGACGAGCAGAACCGGATGATGCTACCAAGCCCCTTCGCAGAACACGCTGAATCGACACTAGATCTTGCCAATATCTGCCACACCATTGTACGCACACTTCTCCGCAGCATCTCTGATAGCCTTGGTCTTGGTGAATCTTCGAGTCTAATAAGTGCTCATCGCCCCGATGGGACAAGCGAATCGGGAATAAAGTTTGTCTCTGGTCCAACCAAAGCGTCCATGGCCGATGTACCCGATACTACTCACACCGACGTTGGCTCGATCACCTTGCTCTGGTGCGAGAAATGGGCTACTCAGATGCAAACTAAGGAAACGAAAGAGTGGTTATGGGTAGATCCCAAACCGAATCGGGTTTTGGTCAATATCGCAGACTATCTGCAAAACCAGACCGGTGGCCGCCTACACTCCCCAGCGCATAAAGTGAGCCAGCCATCCAGTGGTGCTGAGGACCGATATTTTGTGTCCTACTTTTTGCGACCTAATCATTGATGACAGGTAGCGTTTGAGAGAAAGCTATCTACATGCGTTGCGGGGACTGGCCGACCTGATTCCTCAGACCTCGACAATGGCGGACTATGGTCCAAAAAATTGGACTTTCTTTTTTGTTGTTTTCTGGTTTGTCTATGGGCCTTGACTGGAAGAAAGGAGCCTTGCAGGACTTCCTGTTCACTTTCATGCCCGTAGCAGTAGATTCATCCTGTGCAATTCTTGACTGTACCTAAGCTGCGAAAAGAATATGCTCTTTGAAGTTGACTATACTACATGGGTCGCGAAAGTCTACCAATTTCCCTCTATTGTATAAAAAGTATATCTAGGGTCATTCCATCTTTCCAAGCTTACTAGTAACCTTGGAATACTATCGTTCAGTTAATATTCACGATATCATGGTATGATATATGGATATTCATCATGATGAATGTAAGGACTGCGTTATGTTTAACTATACCAAATGCATGTACAAAGGCTGTGCCGTATTCGAGATCATGACCCGGATGTTCAAAATGTTAGATTGTAGTTCTTGACTGTTTCTTTTGTCCCTTAGGCTTAATATTAATTGCCACATATATTGGAGCCGCAAAATTTCGGATCTTTCAGTACTACACCAGAGACTGTTAGTATGAGTGAGACATCTTATCGCCACCTAACTACCAGTGGGACAGTCGTTCTACTGCCTGTAATTATGAAGTCTCGGGCCAATTGGGCATTGCAAAGAACCTATCCTCTGTGTGACTACTCTAGCTTCCATATGCTGCAAGCTGTAATATGCAATCCTGCCTAGGTGATCTGAACCACTGCAGTTGGGATTTTTATTTATTGCATCTTAGTTACGTGCATTAAGAATAAATTCGTAATAACTTCCAGCTGTTTCCGAGGTTCCACCATCTTTGAATGACTGCATTGTGTGTCACGGTGCAGACCCTTGGAAGTGGACACTGTATAATATACAGGCAAGAGGGGTTGTATACTAGGTATATTACTAAAGCTCAGCCAGCCATCTAGTACCATGTGGAGTAATATACAAGTATTAGTACTTCTTAGTCCAGCTAATAACCCTGGAAGGTGCAGATATACACAACTATCTGATGTCACTATGCTGCAGGATATATCCATGGATCTCAATATCCTTCCCGAGGCCTGCTAGGCACCAATAAAAGGAAGTAGTTATGGATGCAGCAAAACAGTTCCGGTGCGTCCGATGTCTGTATCTAGAATATAATAACGTAGATCTTTTGGTAGTACCCGATGTATTGCAGATACAGTTACAGTGGCACACCGCCACTATTTTATCATGCCTTAGGGCGCCGTGACATCGTATTTAATCTCAAAAATGCGTACAGCCGTGTATTTTTCATATAGGGTCCTTTGAAGATTACATGTATGTCATGAAAATTGTCATGAACTGCCCATTCCTGGCTCCTCGCTTCTCTTACGGTATGCCGGGATGGAGCGATCCGCCGGACGCAACCTAGTTTTGGTTTGGGCGGCCCCACATGGCCCAATTACTCCGCATTTCCCATCCCGTGCCATCTGTGGTTTCTCATCTGCATTTATGTCGAGTACAGTAACCCCTAACATCACTTTTGTTTGAGAGAACATCAGTAAGGGATATTCAATTTGTTAGTAAGCGGGTTGTATGGGTTTCAAAGGCTGGTCTTGGAAGAAGTCCCTGGCCGCCCCTTCCCCTGGAATGCCAGGTTCTTCAACGGGACTTCCGAAAAGAGCCAACGGACTGTAAAGGGAATCCATTTGTCGACGTAACCTAGAAGCACAACCTTGGTAGGAGAATGAAAATGATGATGGTTTTGATGTAATGTCAGCTATGTCTTCTTACGTCTTGCTAGCCGAAGTAACGTAACCCGACGTCAGGACATCCTCTGTACGCTAATAACGAAGTAGTATGGACATCTTGAGCGCCACTGGCAACTGCCGATCTCACATCTGCCCGCAGACCTGCGGGAAGTCCCGATTGAGTTCATCTGCATTTCAGCTACGCCTTTTTCCCAAGTGCATTTTCCTTAATCAGGTGTGGTTCCCTGTATTTTTCCCACGTCATTCGTTGTCATGGTGGAACAGAGCTTGGGCCGACCGATTTCATTGTATTTGTCGGAACGCGGTCGTTACAGTACAGACTAGTACGGGTTTAATAAATATTTGAGTGGAGTTTCAATTTGAATGCTACGTAACTATGGGAAGCTAGGCACAGAATATATGCGGTTTGGGTTTACCCCCTCTGGCTTGCATCGAGCGAAGTATCCGCTTCCGCAGACCAAAATAGTTATTAGTTACATTTTAGTCGAATACACCGCCCTAAAACAGACACAGTTAGTCTCAATTATGGACATTACGCTCGACACAGGCCAGAGGGGGTAGTACGGTTATTTAGAGCCATGAAACTGTGTTTGAAAACAGGCATACGGGGGTGCTGAGTATTACTTAGACGTACTAGTACCACCGCGACCCTCTTTTGTCGATATGATTTGTCGAGTCAGCAGGATAGGGTCACCCCGGAATATCTACTGTATCGGAATCTGCGCCTAATTTCCGAGGCTTGTGGGTTTGATAATCACACTTTCAAGGTTTCAACTGTTCATTCACATATGTGATCAACTAAATCGAGCCGCTCATCAATTATTCTACTTCTTTACCTGTTTCTTTTGGTACATCTCCCATTATCCACACAATTCGTTTTCGATTGCTTCCTGCTGCACATCACGTAGCTTCCCTCCTTAGACCTCATACAACAACGTGGTACGTCAACTCAAATCCCTCAGAATTATTTCTTCTCGCACCCGCTCCCCTCTTCAACTTTAACTTATCCTTTCGTAGTTCCATAAATAAGCAACACGATGGCGAATGCATCCCATGCAGAGGTTTACCAGAGCTTGAGTGCTGCGTGGAGCTTCTCGGACGAAAATGAAAAGTTATGGTGGCACAGCACCGCTCCCATGTTCGCCCATATGCTACAGTCCGCAGAATATATGCAACAAAGTCAAAGGCAACATCTTGAGATTTACAAGAGGGTCGTCATCCCCATGCTCGGTGCCTACCCCGTCGAAGATCGTCCCCGCTGGATGAGTATCCTCACACGATATGGTACTCCGTTTGAACTGAGCCTCAATTGCTCGAAGAATATCGTCAGCTACACATATGAACCCATTTCATTGATGACGGGAACTGCACAGGACCCATACAATACAAATGCAATTTGGGAGGCCCTCCACCATCTAGCAGTATACCAACCTGGTATCAATCTAGAGTGGTTTAGTTATTTTAAGAAAGCTCTTACCCTTACCTCAGAAGAATCGGCCTTTCTTTTGAAGAATAATAGTCTGGTTGGCGATCAGATTAAGACCCAAAACAAACTGTCCTTGCAGCTCGATAAAGATGATGACTTTACTCTTAAGGTCTATATATATCCTGCATTGAAATCACTCGTCACAAAAAGGTCTACCCAGGATCTTATATTTGGGGCAGCTCATAATCTAACCAAATTATACCCTACTGTGACAATTTCTACCCCGTTGAAGGTCCTAGAGGAATACCTGAAGTCCCGAGCACCTAACAGTACTGTCAAGCCCTGCTTCCTGTCGTACGACTTGGTGGAACCCCCAAAGTCACGCATCAAGATCTATCTTTTGGAAGAACAGGTTACACTAACAACGCTGGAGGACCTATGGACTCTAGGTGGCCGAAGGAACGATAACTCCACTGTAGAGGGACTCAAGGTCCTGCAGGAACTCTGGAATCTAATAAACCTTACTTCGAAATTCTGCACCTATCCAGTCGGATATTTGTCTCTTAGTGACACCGTGAACGAGCAGCTCCCCCTTTTGGCTGGCTATACCATTCACCCAGATGATCCTTATCCTGAGCCTGAGATATACTTTCAAACATTTGGGCACCGCGATCAAAAGTTGGCGAAGGGGTTGATGACCTTCTTCCAGCAGCAAGGCTGGACAAGGATTGCAAAGTCTTATGGAAGGGATCTACGAGCTTGGTAGTAGGTGTTTTGCTTACTCCAATTGTGTTTCCTTATGTAAAGATGCTAACCGTCAAAACCTGAAGTCCAATGGCAGATTTCAAGCATCTGAACAAGATCCACACATTGGTGTCCTTTTCCTATCGTAACAACTGCCCTTCTATGAATGTTAATCTGCAGTCATTCGAGACTGGTGAATGGGATACATGTGTATGTATTCATGTGTTCTACCCGGGGAAAGACTTCGCTAATGATCCCAAAGCAAGGTTCGCCGAACCTGTAACATTTACTCCATGGCTTTACAGATCGCATGTTATCATGCTTAAACTATTCCAGAAATTGCATAGTCTTTGAGTCGGTTATTGCACCGGACCTGCTTTATTAAAATATTGACTGGCCCTGCGATTGTCTTCGAAATTTTGTTGATTGGCACCAGAAATGACTACCGAATAGCTAGCCAGATTTAGCAACGTTAATAAAATCCAATCTTAACATTCGAAAGACAGAAATCCTGCGCATGTACATAAGCCCCCACAGGTTGTCGATTCACGCGCGTACATTTGCCACAGCCTTTCTCCGTGGTAGTGGGCAGCTCGTTTCACCTCGGGCCTGAAGACCAATGAGTCATCGAACATGGTCACATCCGCGTTGACTGTGTTTGATGTGGCGACCATGGGTTGTTTGTAAGGGCTAAGCACTCTTCGCCATCGAGGAGTACGCGAGTGATATCCCTTGGGGTCTTGAGGGGGTCGGCTCAATTTTGACGGAGGATGCGGTGGCAGAGACACGCATAGTCTCTCCAAAAATATCATCGACATAGGTCAGCTGCTTCGGGGAAATAATATCAAAAGGTCATAACATATAACGGAGTTAATCCTGGCCTGCCCTTCTTGACACATCGCAGCATCGGCCCAGGCGGTTTTGATACTGAGATAATACAGGGCATGATGCATCTTCAATAGGCGATTGCATCATCGGTAGTCCCCTCTTCAGCTCTTGCCCGTTCGTAATTAGAAAGAACGTAAAACTTCCAGTGGTTTCAAACATTCGAGACTTGATTGCGTCAGTTCAAAAAAAATAGATAAAAAAGATCCATCGCCCAGAATTGGTTATTTCTTGACTTACCAACTATCTGGGTTGTTTTCTGGTTCGGCATTTTGTGCGATTTATGATTTGGTGGGCTCGGTATATTGTTCGGTAGATCGTCGAACTATCTTTCCCCAGGCCGTGCGTCAAAAGCCAACGGGATTATCATGATACTATAGCAATGAGAGACCCGATAATCTTTACGGCCCCGGGACAGATCTGAGATATGTCAATACGTAACCCTTGAGATCGATGTAACCTTCTACAGCGGTAATGACATCGAAGACCAATAGGAAAATAAATCCAGCAGAGGGGGTGGCCAGATGCATAGCCAGCTATGCTGTGCTACCTCAGATCGCTTACTGCATGGAATGTAACTTGCGACGAATCACAAGAAAAATATTTCGATTGTAGGCAATCCATATGTGATTATCGCGCATATAAGAAGTATGACTACGTAGGTGTTACCTCACTAACCCACTGTCTAGTATTACCTATATAGAGTGGCTTTCAATAAATATCAAAAGCATGTTTTATATATACAGCATATTCATGTAGCGTGATAGTTCTTCTGAGTAATAATGACTTGAAGAACATAAGCGTGTTAGGTTCCATAAAGTGATATCCATATACCAAACTATATAAAACACTAAATACATCCATAGTGTACTAGGTATGGTGAGAGAATCACTTAAAGTATTTCCGAACCCCTTGCTTCTTCAAGCTGACCGCAAAGTCTGCCAATAGTTCATCGGCAAACGATCTATATGATCGTAGCTGAATTACATGCATGTTATTGCTTGAGTGCTGAGCTGACGCCGCACACTTAGTGGTCTATCATTCCAAGGTAGGTTACACGGAAGCGGGCTGTGCGCACGGTGGATATGTGAAATATGCATGCACCAAAAAAATACTAATATTGAACAAATTGTAGTAAGTGGCTGGCTAAGCTTCAGCCGATCTACATATCTTCGATCGTGTGCATATTATAGTATCCACTCCTGCACATTAAATGGCGGTATTGAGTCGGTACCTGCCCTCTCCCTCTCCTTCACCCCTTTTTTTTTTTTTTTTTTTTACTTCAGGAAATCTTAGTTTTATTGGATATCGCATTGTGAACAGCGGGTTCTTAGCGCGAGGAACTGCGGGACAGGCTTTGGACTGGCAGTCTACGAGAGTTGGGGGAGGATTGCTATAATGTTACTTTAAAAGTTTTGGGTTCTACCCGAGCAATGTGATGATTGGGTTGTACCCGAAGCCAGCGGCTCGTAAGTGCGGACCGGGCCTGGGACTAACCTAATTAGAAATAGCTGATACAGTGGGGCAATACGCGTACACATTCTTACCGTAACGGCCTTCTTTACCCAGCCATACCATTTTCCCCAATTGTACATTCTTGAGATCAAGCCAATGCGAAGTACTAATGTTTCATGTAAAGGTGGCTGGAAAATACGCTAGAATCTTAAAAGCCCAATTTCGCAGAAATTGCAAGCCGTTTTGGCATGACACGCTCAATTCGGCACGACCGCGCTCGGTGTAATCGAAAGTCCAGAAAAGAGCGTATAGTAGTATCTAGATAGGGACAACCAATTTCAACGAGCATGATTACGATTAGTTCCATGAGAAGCAAGAGAAACCTGCTTTGTAAAGATCTATCCTCTATTAAGCTTAACACATTTGGCTGTCTCCGTTTTCGCCATAGCATACCCATACGAATAATCCACAAGCAGCCACTCATCTGTGGATACGTATTGCTTGCACTCTTGTAAATAGTGACATTGCCGACGAAAAAGAACCTGCAAATGAACATAACTTTCCGGCGAAAGTAGTCCAACATTAGGTGCTTCTGCGATGATCCCCTGGAGCTCAAGTAACGCGGCGAAGATACCAAGTAGAACACCCAAGTTTTGGAGTGGTTTTGACGATAGCCGAAGCATCTTTTCTGCAAACTCGGAGGGCCAGCAAACGAGAAGCATCGACAGGTCAGCGGGAGCAAGGAGAGATGCTCGTTTAATCATCTCCAGGCCAATCCCAACAATACCATTGTCATTTCCGGTGTGCGACTCATCTATCCCTGTGATCACCGTATGCTCTATCTCAAATCCAAGCTGAGCTCGTAACAAGCGCACCACTGCGCACCCCATGGGGTCTGCGGTCCTCCCCGGGGCGTATACAAACGACTCTAGGAGGCTGCACTGAGAGAACCAAAGAGGCAGCAAAAGTGGTAAATCAAGATCACTCGCACTGAGTTTGGGCCAGGTTGATGATAGTTGTGGGTGGTGTAGCAAAGGTGTAATCTCATCTGTCAGGTCTGTGGAGTTCAATGACCCAGATGTTTTCTGAGATAGAATATTCGAGCGACTGCAGTCCCGGCAATGGATGTCCTCCGAAAGACCAACAAAGTCAAAATAAAATAGATTCCGACGTGGCTCTAGAGAGTCGATCCATTGTTGTAAAGTGGATACCTCTTCCCTTGTGAAGGCACCAAACATCTTACCACCCCAGCAGCATTCTTTCACTAGCCTGCTCTTTTTGCTCTCACCGGGATAAACCCATGGCGTAGAGGCGGCCAGAGCTCGAAGAAAATTCGGTTGCCAGTCTTCGTCTTGCAAGCTCCTTAGACTAAGCCAGTCGTCAAGAGAGCGACCCCCAATTTTTGCTTTACATCCGGTGTGTATTCCCTGCGCAGCTTGAGCCTTGGCACGAAATATCTCGCATATCCTGGATTCAAGCTGATCACACGGCGAAGAGTCAAGTTTGTACCGGATATCTGCTGTTTGAATCCCCTCAGAACCTAACCATTCACTCAAGACGTATCCTGCTTGAATGCGCCGCCACGCAGTGTGAGCGGCTTTTTCGCCTTCCAAATCCAAAATCTTTTGTACATAGTCCACGACGCAGTCCATAGACATAGCAGCATGACCAGAATGGCTGTTATCAATAGAAATATGAAGAATAAAGTAGTATGGATCGAGTCCAACTTCTGGTAGCTCCTTTGCCGCTTGCATTGTATCCAGCTGGAGCATTTCGAAGTGCATGTTGAACCCCAGTATCTCCGGAAAAAAGTCTGCCGAAAAGGCGGATATCATTAATTGAGCTGCGGCTGCTCTCCAGTACTTGATACTGTTGAAATTCAATCTAGGGTGAAGGATTTCCTCTGTCGTTGCGGAGGGCAATTCCGGCTCAAAAACACGCAAGAGGTTTTCAAAGATGTGAACGTGGTGCTGAAGAAGATTACCATCTCCAAGCTCCTCAGTGAACACCTGCCACGTTTTCTTCATGATTGGACGGAAGGAAAATGGTATAGTGATTTTGTTCAAATGGCCCAGCCAAGCCCCATCAACCAGCTTCAACGGGGCAATCTTCCTGAGCCATGATTCTGCATCCTGTCGGTCGCGGACCAATTGGCGAAACCCACCCGCATTCCTCTTCGCAATATATTTTTCGTATTTATCTGTGACGTTCTTCTGGTGATTTTGTAGAAACTGGGATAGCTCTTCTTTGTTGAAATTCACCATCGATATGATGCTCGAATGAGACTCTCTTTTTGTATAATCGCGTAATGCTTCGGATAGTAGAAACAAGATTCCCTGCCGTGCAAGCGGGAGAACTTCCGAATGATACTCCACATTTTGCAGTTTGAAGAAAAGACTTTTGTAAAATTCTAGCTCATGAAATCCTGAATCTTTGGCAATCGGCTTGATGGCGGAGGGGATAAACCTCGACTTTCTTGAGTAGTGAAGGTTTGTTCCCTGGGGTGGTTCATTATCCTGAACTTTCAAAATTCGGCGAAGACAAAATGCGGCGGTAAAGAGTAAGAGGCTGGCGATTATTTTCGACATTGATGAGGGCACAAAGAAAGCAAGGACTGTTCCATAGCTGGACTTGAAATCCATTGTCACTTTGGAGTGAATTGGAAACTTGAAGTCGGAAAAGGGGAGCTAGAGGAGCAATTTACTTATTGAAGCCAAATCCTAATCCGGATCCAAGTTTTGATAAAAAATATCGGTTTGGGTCGTGCAGATCGATCATCCTGGTGTCTCAATTTTTTCGATCCGATGCATGCGTCGACCTGCAACAAGAGTGCATTAAGCAAAGTATTGCTTGCATCATGATGTAAATCCTTATTTCTATTCGCCGGATCCATTGAGTTACAGCGGATCTAATACGAGTTGTGGAACGAGACAAATTGTGTGACGAGATACACCGCCAATTCCCTGTTCCTTACATGTTCCTTACAGCCATTATGTGCTTCGCCTGCAGGAATTAAAATAATCGATCTGCAATATGGATATGTGAAAGACCTTCTGTGCTACCATAGATCATTAGATGAATGCAGTGAAAAAGCTATCCCTTGGACCTTTAGTACCACTTACAGACTCTGAGATGACTGGAAATTTGGTCTGTGCCGGATTAATGCTCAGACGCTAAAGGAAGGGCCCGTAGTATGTAATGGTAGCGAAATGTGCTCGAGTGCTTTAGTAATCCGTCTTTTACAAGAAACTGCTCCGATTCAATCCCAGCCTCACTTATGCTACCCGTCTTCTTCATTAATTCCCATCTTTCTTCCATCGATCCCCCATCAAGTCATAATCAAATGATTGATGAAAATACGCCACTGGCTGAGCGTCAGTCATGTTTGAATTACAGTGCTACCCCTAAACAGGATGCAGAAGCGGCAAAGGAAGAGGTCCCTATCGACCGCGTGTTTGTTTCCATTGCTTTGCTAGGTTCTCAGCCCCAACAATCCCTGGACGGAGTCTCTATACTATGGCCGCTAACTGGAATTTACCGATAGGAATGTTTTTCGCAGCAGCAGATGACTCTTTTGTCTTAGCTACACACGGTGAAATTGCGACCGACTTCAAACAACTTGCGTTGGGGCCCTGGATTGTTTCAGCCTATAATCTTGGATTCATTACTACCCTGCCATTGGTGTGTAAGCCGCATGCGAAGGTTATACCAGGTTAGATCTCTGACAGTAGGTGCAGTACGGAAAGCTCAGTGATGCATATGGGTACAAGTTGGTACTACTTGTAGCCTATCTGATGTTCTCGTTCGGTTGTATTATCAGGTTAGTTAGTTCCAAATAAACCGTTCTGTTTATATGGCGTGGCTAATCCTCACTAAGCGGCACTGCGCCCTCAATCTGGGTTGTCATTGGAGGCAGATTCATCGCTGGCGTTGGAGCTTCGGGCATGACAGATCTCGTCAGCCTGATCATCAATGGTAAATCTTTGTGCTCTTTTGGTGCTTTTACTTCCTTAAAGACACTTTTAACCCGTTTATTGCAGATCTGGCCCCGCCGAGACAAGTTGTAATGTTGCGAAGTTATTTTGGAATGGCATTCCCTATCGGAATCAGCAGTGGAACCGGCCTTGGTGGAATGCTTTTGGACGCCGTCGGCTGGAGATGGTGAGTTTATGGCCCTGCGTATTAAATCTCGACGGGTATTTAATATATAACTATCAGGTCCTTCCTCGTCCAGGTCCCTTTCGGGCTACTCTGCTTTTTTATTGCCATGTGGAGACTTCCAGCACCAAATGACTCAAGCAAAACGCAACATGAAATCAACAATACTGGCAGTCGTGAACTAAATCTGTTTGGTGTATTCTCATTAGGAATCTCTGTCGCCGCATTAACGATACTGTGCCATTCAATCGGAGATGGTATTGCAATCACTGTTCCTTTGGTGGTGGCAATTTTATCTGCTGTGGTGTACGGATGGAATGAAAAGTTTTGGACCAAAGTTCCGCTGGTGTCTTGGGATGTTGTCAAGCACAACGGGATTTGGGCGATATATGCGATACAGTTTTTTACTTCCTTTGCCGCCTTTGGTGTAAGTCAACCTCAACCTCAACCTCACCACCTTCAACCCTACCAACTAATTATCAAACAGCTTCTCGCCAATATCAGCGAGTTTTTCACGCGAACTATAAATGCTACGGCTTCGTTTAGTGGAGCCACCTTCACCATTGTAACCGTTGGCAGTATTGTTGGATCCGCTGTTTGGGGGTTCATGATACGACGGTGAGTTGAGCCCGAGGGGGCTATAAATGCATAACACATACAGCTCACACATTTGGCTAATGCGTTAGCAGCACTGGCAACTATAAGGCATTGGCATTAACATCCTGCACTATCAATATCATTGGTTTTGGTCTGCTTATGGTTCGATGGTCTGAAGGACCCAAGCTGTGGGAACTGGCATACCTGGCGATCCATGCCATCGGCCATACGGGGCTTATTACGACCCTATTTGTTGCGATATCAGTGGCAGCTCCCAAAGATTCCGGTGCCGGGCCAATAACTACCTACTATTTGGCTCAGCAGATAGGAATGGTAGTAGGCGTAACTGCCACGTCAGTATTTACACGGAATGTGTTCAGAAGTAATCTCCTCGAGAGCCTCGCCATGGAGCCGAATGCACAGGAGGTAGGTGTCTCTGGCTTGGGAGGAGAGCCCGTTGGTGATTCGGAAGGCTAATTATGATGCACAGATTATTGAAAATATTTTAAGGGAAAGTCGATTTGCATTTACACACCTGTCTGACAGACTTCAAGTGGCTGTCGCCAACAGTTACATGCACGCATTTGCTGCTACGCCGGGTAAGTAAACCCTCTATGTATTCATCCATACCTTGTGATTTTCTGCTGACCTTTCATTAGGGCTCTGTGTCGCCTGCATGTTGCTCGTTATTCCCGCTCTTATTTGTATGCCACAGCTCTCCCTAGACTGATCGGGCCCATGTTTGAATTGTCAAATTTTTACATCACATGTTGGAACCATGAGGTTGCCATGCGTCCACTCAGCTATCCTCAGACACCCCGACTGAGACTAGCCAAAATGTATCATGTCATCTCTCACGATAGTGACCAGTACATTGCATTCTCCACCGTTTTTATTTCCTCTGAGGCCTCAGTCCTGAACAATCTATGCTCAAGTGCTTATACATATCGAGCACAACAGAGAAGAAATCAAGAATAAAGCTCATTATCTACTATACACCTTCATTTTACCTAGATATGAGATCGATCCAGCTTGCTCGAGCTTTGGATTAGATGGAAAGCCGCGATTGAATGGTGATACTGTATCGATTATCATAGTTTCCTTAATTTCTTGCTAGGGCGTTTGCTCGTAGATATGGCTGGACCCGAGTATGGTGCAATTTTTCTATCTTTCCCCCTACTACGCGATTGAAAAAATATAATCATCGAAAATGAACGCGTCGTCCGTACAGCAAGGGATGGGGGGTTGTTTTGATACCGCGAGGATGAGCCGATCCAGATTCCCGGTGCTATCCAGAGCTCTGGTTCCATCATAACTCTGCGACAAGAATCGCCAACCCAATCTACGATGCGAGTTCCAACGTTGTAAGTGCAAATTACCACGATTCTTGGGCTACTGTCTTAATTAACCATTTGAGGTTGAACGACTTGATGAAATCATGGAAGCGTATCAAACATCTATCTTCTTACATTCCGTCATTTCTACACTGTGAAAAGACATACATGGCGCTGAATTGCCAGTGGGTGGCCCTAACATACACCAAGCAATCATTTCCATGATCCCAGATGCTCGCGACAGAACCTCCTACTTTCCTCAGTAACATCATATCCATTGACCCACATTCTACCACCAGGCTCCAACGTGCTCGTGCAAGCTGGATCAGGGGTGGCTTTCTCCCGTATCATTCTCTCTCTAATCTTCTCTTCTCCAAGCTCAGCCCACTGTGCCCGCTGCATATCGCGAATAGTGTTCCATTTCAAATCACGCGCAATCTGAAGCTCTCCATCTGACAGTGTCATGTCACTGGCAGTGCCACGGCTGATACTGCGTAGATGATCGACACGAGCCTGTCTAAACTGACTCCAACCACTCATCACCTTCGACAATTCCTCTGCATCTCCCGATTTCAAATGACCCACAAATTCCGCCAAGCTTGCCGCATCCTCGAAAGCCATTCCGGCTCCCTGCGCAGCGTGAGGAAGAAGAGCATGCGCCGCGTCCCCAACCAACGTTACTTTTCCAGATGTACTAACATAGCTTGGAATAGGAGGCACCTCGCCCAAAGTCCAGGAAACGCAGTCCTCTTGAACGAGAGACGTCAGCGCTCGCACTTCCTCACACCACTCAGATACAAGCCCGCACATTGTCTCAATGTTGGCAGGGTGATTCCAAGCCCCAACAGGTACTCCTTCGCTCGGCCGTGGGACACCAACAACAAGATTGTATAACTCCTTTGACGCAACTGTATATCCCAATACAAATACCTCAGGCCCCACCCATAGTTTTGCCTCCGGGGAAGCCATGAATGGTGCAGTAAGGGTATTAGAGAGCATCCGCGACCGCGGGATCACAGCACGGTAGTTATGCTCGCGATAAGCGGTTGGGGAAATATCCTTTGACGCTGGCAAGCATCGTCTAGCTCGAGACCAAATTCCATCTGCTGCGACCGTAAGATCGGCCTCAAAAAGCTCCCCGTCTACTGTACAGACAGTACCAGTCTTATCGTCCACTGATTTAACGGACTTCGAAAATAAAACAGATACATTTGGCAACTCTTTGACTCGTTCGAAGAGCGATTTCTGCAGGTCTGGCCGGTAGATCTGATATTGGGGCCAACCGTAGAGCCATGTGCTGGATGGGTTGTTCATGTTGAAGGTCAATTCTGAATTATCTTCCCAGCGGCGAATAGACAGGTGAGACGATTGGAAAGCAACCTTTTCCAAGGTCGGAGTTAGGCCCCATTTGTGTAAAATGCGGGTGCTATTTGCGAAGAGTTGCAGTCCAGCGCCCAGCTCGCTGAGAGAGGCGTTTGATTCTAGAATTGTAATCCGGTGGTTGGGATTTATGTCTGAGAGCGCTATTGCTGATGAAAGGCCGGCCATCCCACCGCCGATGACTGTGATTTTCAACGGGATACCTGGCTGGTTGGAAGACATCTTGGCATGCAAAACCTCTGTAGAATGTTCTCACGTTCTAGGTGCAGCTGTTTTTGGGTGATGGGAAAGGAATGTAAAAACTATTTCCGAGGCCGAGGGTACGAAAAGCTTCACCTATGAGCATCGGCCACTGCCGCTAAGTAAATAGAGCGGAAACCTTCCAAAAGGCGAATTTTGCAGGCTTTCTGACACGTATGACAAGGTGCGAGTTGGGGGCAGCAAGCACATTGGCAGGATCTGCATATATCTTGAACGACCATTGTATTTGTCTTCGGAGCTCTACATTTCCTTGCCGATTCTGCATGTAGATGATTTGGAAGTGATCCTGCATCGTTCTGGCCGAATATAGGTTGCCTTTGTGAATCCGGTATGTTGGTCTGTAACGACTAGTATTACATGTAAATACAGTATTGTTTCATACATACTGTAATTCGAGTACCTTGGCCCATTGGACCCACCTTTCATATTGCCTTGCAGAAACCTGAGAAATTCTTACCATCATACAGGAGACTCTTTGATTGGACATCCAGTGTTGCATCTTCCCAAACTTGGAATGACCCCAGCAGTATGCGGTGATTCGTTATGCTTGTAACACCTTCTGGTCCATTGGTTACCTCCTGCGTATGACATATATCGTTATCCAGTCAAGTGGACGCTATTAGTTGAGCACAGCAAATAGTGTAGATTGCTTTTTCGGAATTATTGAAAGAAAACATGCGGTAATTGACCAGATTTGTGCCTTTTTGATGTCTCGAGTATTGGGCTACAGTAAACAGCTATGGGGGTATGAACGTGTTACAATTCACTATTACAGTACTGCATGCTACTCTCAGAACTCGCCACGATGATCTTTTTCCTGGAATGGGCCGGACCACCCATTACAAGGATGTGGAGCCTCTAGTTCCCCTTCCCGTGCACGGCCCGGCTGCAGGGCTGCAAGATGTTATGCAGGGACGGGATAGAACCCCGTATAAAAAGAATACTGTGTAACCAAGCGAGTATACTCCGTCCACTTAGATATCTTTTAATCTGGCTTTCAAAGCGGGAGTTCTCATTATTCGATAGATGATCTTTGGACGGAGATGGCGGTGAAGCTCACTTCAAATTACAAAAATGCAGTGTAAGTACAGAAAATAATATTGCATTAATTGTGCACTTCTATATGCAGCTTTCAGTTTTCGGAGTAAATCCTAATTATTGCCCAAATGCGTACAAGTAAGCGCTCGGTGATGTTCGGCTTAGTTTTGAATTTGTGTTTTTCAACTTGGTCGCACAGGGGTACTTAATAACAATAGTATTAGTCCTAGCAATATTGAATATAGACAAAACAAATAAAATATTACTTTCCTAACAGTACTAGATATTATACACTAGGCTGAACGAAAAAGAAAGACGTTTATAAATAGATTAAAGATTATTAAGTAACTTAAGGCTTGAGTATAGTAATTCTAAACTTCAATATTAGTATACAATATACTCCCAAGATCTACAAGAGTTGAGACTTCAAGTTTGCAATAATATCTAGATTAGATGTATGACACATAGACTATCATACGAAGAAACGGTAGCGGTGTAGCTGTAGCTATATCTACATTAGATCGGGTACCACGAGATCAACGTCATCATATTGTAGACACAGGTTCACCGCAACCGTCTTGCTTCATAGTTCCTTTTCTATTGGTTGCTGGCAGAAGGAAATCAAGCCTAGACACATTTCTACGCCTACCACCCCTGTCCATTGGATTGAAATTCCTCTGCAAGCAGAAGAAATTGCAGGAGACTGAAGTTGTTGTTGGGCCTCCAGTGTTGCATCTTCCCAACCTTGGCAAGATCCCAACAATGTACAATGAAATATGTACATTTTGCTTGGTAATATCTTGTGGCCCATTAGTTGGCTCTCGCATAGATAGTCATTATCCAGCAACGGTGCCAGTGGGTAAGGTATAAATATCCCTCTTGGATCGTTTGATCTTCTCCGTTAAAGTTATACTTTTCTCATATCATCTATCAAATCTCAAATCTTCTCAAAGAATTATCGCAAGCCAAGATGGTTGCCAAAGAGGATTATGACGACATCCAGGGAGATATCTGGTCGGTTTTCTAATCTGGCAACCGCCAATGATATTCGCGCTAACTTGAATCTAGGCCTGGTTTGTCGAAACAATACGAAGCATTTTACTTTTTCAGCATCGAGGATGTCGCACTATTTAGACCCGTCTTGAAAAAGCTTGCAGATAGTGAGATTACTAGCGCCACGCATGCCATGGCCTCTCGTTACGCTATCCAGAAGGTTAAGGCAGAACAAGCCAAAAAGAAAGGTGAAGAAACTAAGAGCAAAGGAGCTGGAGGGCTTTTCGGCTTGGTGGAGAGCGGGTTCGATTTGGCAGGCGCCGTGGCGCACACCGCGGTAGACGTCACCGTTGGCGTGGCCAAGTTCCCAATCGAATTTTTTGAACATCTTGTCCCGAAAGATGCGAAGGACATCCCGAGGGCGAAAGCATCCCCAAGTCATGTGGGCTTAGCTGGGGTTAACATCTCTTTCACCTACGTAGGAATGCAGAAGGTAATTGTCATCGTTTTGCTTTGAGCCTCCAAAAGCTAACTATAATTACTTACATCTATTCAGCTCTGGAGCGAAGATCCCTTCGATGACCTTTACATCAAGGGTATGCAACAGGACATGATGGGTGAAGGCAGAGATCAGAAGGAATACTGGTTTAAAGAATTCTTGAAAGATGAGGAGAACGGAAAACCTAGCAAGATCGATGGAATGGTGCTGGTTTGTGGCACTAAAGAAGAGGTCCAGGATAAAGTGAAGTACCTGGAAGAAAACTACTTTGGTGAAAAGCAGGGATGTCGTCACATCAGGACTTTGGACGGCCAAGAAAGGCCACAGCCAAACCGGGGTCATGAACAGTAAGAAGTCCCAGATTCTGGTGCTGGAAAATGTGAACCTAACTGCATCTCAGCTTTGGCTATTTGGACGGCATTTCGCAGCCACTCTTGAAGGGTTTCGACGATGAAGATCTTAAGTCAAAAGGAGCTCGCAAGTTTGCTACTCGTCCTGGGTGAATTACAACACAGTATTATTCATGGTTGTCTTAGGATGCTGACTTATTCTAGTGTCATCATCTTTGGACACGACGGAGAGGAGGAAGGTATGGAGTGGCCAGATTGGGCCAGAAACGGAAGTATCCAGGTGGTTCGCAGACTTAAACAGTTTGTGCCAGAATGGAACAAGTATGTTTCCACCTCTTTCCCATGTTAAAAACCATAATCTAACGCAGTGAGTAGCTTCCTGGTAGAGCAGGCCCCGAAGTTCCACCTCACCGCGGACCAGCTCGGTGCTCGGGTAATGGGTCGCTGGAAGAGCGGTAAGATGCTGCCTGTGGCCAGCTTCCTGCATGTACCAGGTGCTAAGATTTATTTTCAATGTTAGGAGCACCTGTTCAGCTGCATCCCGATACGGACTGTCCAGCCGATGCAAAGTTAAACGACTTCGACTATGACGCAGACTGCCAGCTTAAGTGCCCATTTGCATCACACATGCGCAAGACCAAGCCTCGAATCGGCGTAGACAATGCTGATAAGTTCGACATCATGCGTCGCGGTCTCCCTTTTGGACCGGAGCACGATCCCAAAACCGAGCCTACTAAGACCACACAAGACCGTGGTCTGATGTTCGTTTGTTACCAAACCAGCCTTAACAATGGCTTCTCTTTCATTAAAAACAGTAAGTGATATCTCCCTTGAGAAAATGCCTATCAAGCCGCTGACTTCCTATTCAAGAGTGGTGTAACTTGGATAACTTTCCAAGCAACAAGGAAAAGTTCACTGGCGGCATTCTTCCGGGGCAGGATCCCGTCATTGCTCAAGAGCTTCCATCTACCAAGCAAGCTGATGACAGAAGTTTGACCTTCAGTCTCACCGATGGCAAAGGCCAGCACAGCCAGATGGTATTCCCTTCTTTCGTTCATTCGCAGGGCGGTGATTACTTCTTTTCACCATCTCTGTCGCTGCTTCGTACTCTGTCCACGGCTAAATAGGCTGTGTCGAGACCCATGCGCTGGTATTTGTGGCAGATCTTGTCACTGCATCAAAAGCCCATGGTTAGATGGATTACAACGGCTGAATTGGTTTGAAGTTGTTACGTTCCGGGATTATATGTCACTCATTGTCTGTTATCAGTCAAAACACCAAAACCCAAAATTGAAATATTGTTTTTCGTTGCGTCCAAGTTACCCAAATGTTCGAACTTAATACTCACTGATTCAACACGTAGTCAAAACTTTCTGCCGGCTTTGGATAGTGGTGTGTGCCTCCTGGATTTACCATACTTTGTTAGCCCGTGGTGTAGAGCCCATTGGAATTGCTTGGTAAAGCAGAGCTATCTGACTATAAAGAGAAATACACAACAAGCTGCTGTAAAAGACGGTGCGAAATCCTAAGGTAGGTCATGTATTGCGCCAATGCATAGATTACACATAGTATGTACCTGAAAACAAAAACTTGACTGATTATATGTGTAGGCGGCATATGTACTAGTTGACTATATGTAGTAGAGAGGTGGGAATGAGTCGGTACGGCGGGGACATATATCTCTTACTAATACTAGCAGTACAGTATTATATACTAGTAGATAACTTATCGACTACTCCAGCCTACTTGAAGCTAATAATATTTGTATTTTCAGATGAATATCCAAAAGCTTCGACTTCAGGATCATTGGATCGTAACATGGAATGTCCATCAAAGCGGAGCAATATATTAAAAGACTACAATGCAACGGTAGTAATATGGCACTTAGCATTGAGATGTTTTGACCAGGTGCTTGCTGTAGAAGTTGGTGAATGTCATTTTAATGATTGGTCAAATCTACATTCCACGAATTTAGGGATTTCCACCTTGTTACGCCAATCACACAATGAGGCATATGAAGCGTAGAAATGGTGCCTATCATCCATCGGAGCCGGATCTTCAAGTTCTTAGCAGGACCAGCAATTAGTCTGAATATCGTGTTACCCATATTATGCATATCTCGCATTCTTCACCCGTATCCTTGTCGCATCAGGACACCCGTCGGAGGTTGTCCTAACTCACCCCCTGCTTAGCATTGCACGGGACCAGCCTTCACCTCGGCTTGCACACCTTAATTACGGTGGAGAGCATTACCCGGACCTAGCTTCTAATGTCTTTGCTAGTACCTTACCTGGCCTTCCATTTCTGGGGGAATTGACCTGAAACAAAACAACAACCGCTTATTCAATCTTGCATGATCTGCAACCGATTCAGATCTGCATGCTCTTCACGATCATACCCGGACAAGATTAAATTAAGCTGTAAGGGTAGATCAAGTTTTAAACTTAGACAAGTTTAAAAAAGAAAAAAAAAACAACAATATTTGGTGCAAACATTCTTTGTGCAACATGGTTTCTCTGGCTAACCGGGTCAATGATCAACATCGCAATGATTTACTTAATTATTGCTTGATAAAGGGGCCCGCCAGGGATGCTATGCTGCATGCTATGCAGTGTTGTATCCCAGCAATATTCGGTGTTGATGACTGAATAGCATTTAGAAATACATCTTAAAAAGCAGAACTTGCGCCTGCGAAATGAAGGTTTATTCAATCATCACAATTCTGGAGCACCATTCGTTCTAGCTCCCATTCATTTAAGCTCCCATTCTTTTGAGCTTCCATTTTTTCCCCTGTGGTCGCGTACCAATTCATCCCAATCTCAAGATGAAAACCGAGTGGTATGCGCTTGCGTTTCTGCTGGGCGCCGTGCGGGCCCGAGTCGAAGACCTGAAAGACCTTGAGAAGGCGTACCAAGAAGGAAAGACGCCCGATACGACGAAGGTTCACGGCGTGGATGTTTCCACACTCTCGCAGACTCCACCCCAAGGTGAACAGATCCCAACCGATGGCTGGACTGCGGACTGTACTTCCACTGAGAGTGGCCACGACTGCAACCTAGCCTTTGATTCCGACAACGGTACCTACTGGCAGAGTGCTAGCGGTGGGAACGCCCAATCCATCACCATTCATCTCGGGGGTGATGAGGTGGCTATCAGTGGTCTCATAGTTGTACCTCTCCAAGGTGGAGATGAGACTCATTTCATCGAGGAACACGAAGTCTTCTTGAGTACCGACGGTGAAAACTGGGATCGTGTTGCCTATGGAACCTGGTGGCCGGATGACAGTCAGAAGGTATCAGCATTTCAACCACGCAAAGCCAAGCATGTACGCTTGTCAGGCCCTGCTCCAAACGGTATTGCCATCGACGATATCGCCATCTACCAAGATAAATACATCAAGCCTAATCCCTCCAAGCTTGGAGCTTGGGGCCCAACGATCGATTTCCCTGTTGTTCCAGTTTCGGCTGCCGTCGATGCACACACTGGAGACGTGGTTGCTTGGTCCGCTTGGGGTTACGACCAGTTCGTTGCCGGCAAGGGAGCGAAGACCCAAACCGCTACATGGAGTCCCAACAAACAAACTGTGACCAAGCGTACTGTCTCCGACACCCACCATGACATGTTCTGTTCGGGTATTTCGCTGGACGAGGACTCGAAGATTATCGTGACTGGCGGAGCTGATGGAGGACAGACTAGCATCTACAACACTACCGATGATGCCTGGTTCCAGGCGGCGGGTATGGTTCAGAGTCGCGGATACCAAGCATCTGCCACCTTGTCTGACGGGCGCATTTTCGTGATTGGAGGATCCTGGAGTGGAGGTGTCGGCGGCAAGAACGGCGAGGTCTACGACCCGAAGACCAACACATGGACTTCGCTCGACGATGCAAAGGTTGTGAAGATGTACACCAAGGACCGAAGGACCTACAGGCGCGACAACCACGGATGGCTATTCGGTTGGACTGACGGCTACACTTTCCAGGCAGGCCCATCTCAGCAGATGAACTGGTATGGCTCTTCCGGCACTGGTACTCAGCAAGGTGCAGGCCAGCGTACTGGTGACCAGGACGCCATGTGCGGCAATGCAGTCATGTATGACAATGGAAAGATCCTCACCTTTGGCGGCTCTCCATGGTATGAGGACAAAAACGCTACCACCAATGCCAACATCATCTCCCTTGATAAGCCCGACCAGGATGCCACTGTCTTGCCGAATGCTGGCGGCGGCATGCACTACGCGCGAACCTTCCACTCTTCTGTCGTTCTCCCCGATGGGTCAGTGTTTGTCAACGGTGGCCAGTCCTATGGAGTACCTTTCGGTCAGGACAATGTCCAGATGACCCCAGAGCTGTTTACTCCCGATTCCTCGAACGAGCAAGGAGGCACCTGGCAGGACCTGGAGACCAACACCATCATCCGAGTGTACCACAGTCTTTCCTTGTTGCTCCAAGATGGCACCGTTTTCACTGGTGGTGGCGGTCTCTGTGGAGAGTGCGCATCCAACCACTTCGATGGTCAAATCTACACCCCCGCTTATCTGCTGAATGAGGATGGGTCCCCCCGTGATCGTCCTGAGATCCAGAGTGTATCTCCCAGCTCCGTCAAGCCTGGCGCGATTGTCGAGGTCACCACTGCTGGCCCGGTTGACACCAAGGCGTCCATCATTCGCTATGGTTCCACTACCCATACCGTCAACACTGACCAGCGCCGCATCGCTGTTGAGTTGAAGTCGACTGGTGACAACAAGTACACCTTTGACATCCCCTCTGAGCCAGGCCAGGCTCTGCCTGGGTACTATATGCTCTTCGTCATGAAGGATGGAACGCCCAGCCACTCTGTCAATGTTCAAGTCACTTCTGAGTAACTGACGTATGGATATTGAAGGTCGATGCTGTAGTATAACTACATGGAGGAGACTCGGGACGGGTATGTTTGCACGTTTGTGCGGTTTGACCTACTCTCGGATGCAGACCTACTTTAAGCTTTAGGGTGGTTACTCTGACTATAGTCGGGCCCGGACCCAGGGGGGGGGGTCTCCGCGTTAAAAGTCTTGGTAAGGGGGGAGGGTCTGTGTGGGTCTCTAGAGAAAGTGGGTCTCAGATACTACCCCCTTCTAAATCTCTAATCTTTGAGATATTATAATCGCTCTTCTTGGAGGTTTTATGATTAGGCTATAATCAATTATATTATTAAAAAGCATTCTAAGATATATTAATATAAAAGGGTAACCCTAGCTAGTTTATATTTGAGGTGTTTCAGTTTTGATAGGGGATAACAAAGCTGGTTGCTGTAGGTAGGCTATACCCTATCCTAAGAGGGTTAGTGAGATCTTTGTGGCGAAATTGGTATATTATGCGGGTATATCTAACTATAGTAAGGGAAACGACTATATGATATATACTAGGTATAAAGGTAAATAAAACAAACAGGCTCGATCAGGTTAGATCGGGCGGTACAGACATCATGGTGGTAGATATAACGGGGATACCAATATAGTAGGATAATATAGGAAATAATATAGTATAGGAAGGCAAAAATTTAATATCCTCCCCTACTTAGACTTAATTGTCTATGACCAATCAAAATAAGTGTGAACGTATCTAATCGTGTAGTATTATTATTAGAGTATTATAAAATTGTCACGGGATTCCTGAATCCCTTCGGATACGATTCGGGTACGATTTATAGCTACTTTGCGGGCGAATCTATCTTGATATACCTACTAATATATAACTACCCTAAGTCCTAGTAAGCTTTAGTAATATTAAAATATATAAATAATAGTTATAATTCTTATCCTGTAAGAATTAGTTCTATATATTAACTATTCTATTTAATCTCTACTATCTAATATCTTTATCTAGTTATAGATCTTTAGTCTAATAGCTTAGTAACTATTATAATTCTAATTCTTCTCTCTTAATTACCTAAGGATTAATAATAGTACTCTCTATATATTAAAACCCTATATTCTTTTATAATAGTACTTAATCTAAGTCTACTATATCTCCTTCTCTTATTATTAGATAATCTAAGTATTATAAGCTAGTCCTACTATATAGTAAGTAGATATAGTCCTTTAGTCTATATATATCTTAAGTATATTCTATAGTTATATTGTTATCTTATATCTTATATAGGATTAGACCTATAAGAGTATTTATAAGGATTATATAGAAAGAAAGCTCTTAATAGTTTATTAGAGATAAGCTATTAATTAGATTTAAGTTATATTTAAGAAAGTTAGATTAAGATATAACTAGAGTAATAAATAAAGGTAAACTAATTATAAATTATATTATAAATAGTAGTAATCTAAGTATAATAATAAAATTAAATATAAAGAACTAAATATATAGTAGTAATAACTATCTTTTATATATTTTAGTTCTTTATATATTTCTATAATAACTTTTAGAGAATAGATCCTAAAGTTATTATAACTCTTTATATACTCCTAGAGTAGATTAGAAGTAGATAGTTATATAATTAGGGAATATATAATTATCTAGAGAAATAATTATTATTTATACTAAGAAGGCTATTTCTAGTAGTCTCTATATTATTTTATACTTATAATAAATATAGATTATAATAGTTAGTAAAAGACTATTTATAGCTCCTTTTCTAAAGTATTTTCTAGTCCTAGTATCTAGGGATCCCTAGGTACTAGATCCTATATATAACTTTATAGCTCTATATTAAATATAGAATTAATTAGCTCTTATTAGTCTAAAGTTGGACTTAGCCCTAGTAGGTCTATAATAGTATGTTTATATTTTTAGAGCCCTAGTCAGGCGAATACCGCTTCACCTTAACAAGGCACTTACCTTATCCAGAGCGTTAAGGTTAGTTAGTAATAATCTAAGTTCTTTAGGAGTATATATAGTACAGTTTATATAACTATATAGATTATTATTATATATAAAGCGGGTAACAACACAATTAGCCTACATTACAAACAACCCCTATATCTCATATATATATACCAACTTAGGCCTTTCCAGATTTATACTATAGAGATAAGCTTAAGCAAGTTTTCGAAAATCACAGATTCCCGAGGAAGTCGGTTTACTATATAGTTCACACTAGCCATCTAGTCAACTAGGGTAAATCGCCTTAGGGTTAATATCACAGGATTCCTGAATCCCTTTAGGTACAATTCAGATATGATTCATAGCTACTCCGCAGATGAATCTACTATAATACACCCACTAATATATAACTATCCTAAGCCCTAGCAAGCTCTAACAATATTAAAATATATAAACAATAGCTACGATTCTTATCCTATAAGAATCAGTTCTATATATTAATTATTCTATTTGATCTCTACTATCTGATATTCTTACCTAGTCATAGGTCTTTAGCTTAATAACTTAGTAACTATTATAATTCTAATTCTTCTCTCTTAACTACCTAAGAATTAATAATAGTACTCTCTATATACCGAAATCCTATATCCTCTTATAATAGTACTTAATCTAAGCCTACTATATCTCTCCTCCTTATTATTAAATAATCTAAGATTAAATCGGTCCCGGATTAATATATAAACCTAGCTGAATCTAGTCTAGACTAGATTAGAGAAATCGCTAGTAACCTTATAACTAAAAGTATTAGTAGATCTAGAAGTATTACTACAAATACCTTAGAAGAGAAGAGATATAAATTAGAATACCTAAAAGAGTTCCTTATAATTTATACTTACCTTAAAGAGCTTTTTACTTAAGTCTCTAGAATTAATATTAGGGCTTTCTTAAATAATCTATCTATAGCTTATAGAAGAATTAAGATTAAAATATATAAGAAAATAAAGGGTTTCAAGGTCAATAAGTTCAAGAAATTATTTAGTCTTTAAGAATAAGCAAATTGGCTCTCGTAGTTTAGATATATCTTTTAAGGTAACCCTAGGATCTATAAGAATAAAGAGATAAAGATCCTTATAGGAGTTAAATATCTTAACTCTAACTATAAAAACAACTAGACTATAGAGAAGAGATATCTTAAAGATAATAATAATAATTACTTTAATAACTAGGAATATTTTAAGGAATAGACTCTTATCTTAATATATAATAAAAATACCTTTATTGGAGAAGTTAGTGACAAGATAGAGTATTATTACTAATAAACTAATAAGGAATTAAAGGTTTTTTACTACTATCTTATAGATCTAGAATATTATCTTTCTTAGGTCTTCTAGAATAAGTAAATATATTACTATATATTGAAACTACAGCTATAGTTAACACTATATATTTGCTAATATATAAAGGTTTCTTCTAAGACTTGAGTATAATAGGTAGAAGAAATATAGAGTACCTAGGAATTTATAAAAGTAAAGATATATAAACGTAATCTATTTATTAACAATTTAAATTTAAGCTTAAAATATCCACAATCTAATAACTTATTCCTAAACTAGTCTAATAGTATAGAATAAGACTAAAAGGGTCCTAGAAATCTATACTTAAAGAGTCCTTATAGTCCTAGACCTAATCTAAATTATAATAACTCTAAGTTATATCTAAATCCCTCTTAATTTAGAGATAAACCCTAACTGTTTCTCTCTTAGAATAAGAATAATCTAAATAATATATCTATTAGAGGGACTAACCTATCTAATCTATCTAATCTATCTACTAGAACCCCTTTAAATAATTATTTTAATTATAATAAACTAGATTACTAGATAAATAAATATTATCTACTACTATAAGCCCTAAGGATAAAGATCTAGGAAGCTTACTTAAGACCCTAGTATTACTATAACAATACTTAGTTAAGAGACTTAGGAAAAGTACTAGGGTCGAATTAACTCCTATAAATTCCAACTCTTAGCCTTAAGTAAGAACAGTTATCTATCTCTATATCCTGATTTATATCTAAAACAATATTAAGATATATATAAATATTAATACTTATATAGAGATAGACCTTATTAGTTATAAATTTATTTAGAAATACTACTTTAATCAAGCTAAGTATAATATCCCTATCCTAGAAGTAGTAGACTAATAAAATACCCCTACCTATAGTATATAGACTATTCTAATTACTATATATAACTCTTAAGGAACTAAATAAAAGTTTTTATATCCCTATATTATAGTTAATAGAGATCCCCGTCTATTAGGATTACTGGTACTACTATCGAATACAACTATCTAAGAAATACAAATTATATTAGCCCTATAGTAGAAGTAATAGTAGTTTAAATATAATAGAAAAACAATAGAATAGTTAAAGTCTCACTAGTTTATAAAAGTATATAAGAACTAAGTCTATATCTTTATAGTTATTAAAATCCTAGAAGAAGTCTAGCTTCCCCTAGAAAAAGAAGAAGATAAATCAATAGTAAGTTAAGACCAAATCCCTTCCGAATTACTAGTGTTCTAGGATATATTTAAGGTATAGAAGTCTAAAATTATACTACTATAAAAAGAGACTAACTACTTGATCAAACTTAAAGAAGATATATTATCTCTATATAGTCTAATCTACTTCCTCTTATAGATAGAACTTATAGAGTTATAGAAGTATCTCAATAAAAACTTAATAAATAGTCAAATCAGACTATTAAAGAGCCTAGCTAGTATATCTATCCTATTTATACCTAAAAAGAATAAAAGACTATAGCTCTATATCAATTATTAAGATCTAAATAAGATTTTGGTTAAAAATTAAAAATTAATACCCCCTACCCCTTATTTTAGAGATTCTTAACTATCTTTCTAAGATTTAATTCCTTAGTAAAATTGATATACAAGATATATACTATTAAATTCATATTTAAGAAGAAGAAGAATAAAAGATAGCTTTTTATATAAGATATAGCTATTTTAAATATATAGTTATACT